CGCTGACTTCCGAGTTCCAACAATATTATGCGCATTTACGGCATTTTTTGTCAAAAGACAAATATATATTAGCTGTTGACACAATGCTGCTATTCTGTTGCATTAAAAAGGGTTTCTGTTTCGGCTCCAACCACTGCATGCACAGACAAGCTGGTTATTACACGGTGCAAACGCTGCCGATAAAACGTGCATGACAAGGTCCACAAGCCACCTTGCATACATTTGCACAGATATTCAAGCTTACAAAGACCCCCCTGTATAGCCTTAACAGGCTGTTGTGGAAAATGCTGTTGGCGCGAGTAACTATGAAGGCCGGCATGGCACGGCACGCGATGTGGTCTCAGCAACACGCCCGACCGCCTTTATGTCCCCAATGGTGATGTTTACACACCACACCAGGTCCTAATTTGAGTCGACCTAGGGGGTTCAGATAATCGTCACTGATGTTTCCCGTGACCAGGAATCGAACCTCGGCTTGCCAGGTTCGTATCGCAAGCTTACAGACACACGCATGCGTGCGTACTAGGCAGGCACTATTGACACAGTCAATGGCACAAGAGAAAACTTGCACGCCTGACCGACCTTTTGTGTTAATGGGGCGGGCATACAGTGCACACAGTACCATAGTCATAGCCAAGAACCACAAGATAAAAAAAAACAATAAAAAAATAAAATTGAAGGGCATTGAACGTGTCCATATTCTACAGAACAAAGCGCAAGGATGGCCACAAAACTACAGGTTTAAGATTCATACGTCTAGAACAGTGGTTCTTAAACTTTACTACAGTCTGCACACCCCCCCTCCCCCCACTTTGGTTGTCAGAAAGGGCATCTCGCACCCCCGGCTAGGAACCACTGGTTTATAACAATGATGATGCTTTTTACTTCGAAACGCCACGCTTAGTCTCAATAATTGTTTTCCAGTGGAATCTGCCGAGATTTAGTTTGGCCAATTCCTTTAATAACCGTTTGACATCAAGTGGGAAGAAACCAGAGTACCCAGAGAGAAAAAAAAAAAACCCATTGCAGAAGATAACACTTAAAGCTATGCAGAAGATAACACTTAAAGCTATGCAGAAACAAAATTAATAACTGGGTTTTTTTTTTCTCTCATCCAAGTACTAAACAGGCTAAGGTCTGATCATCTTATGAAAACTGGCAAGATCGGGCACATTCAGGGTTATGTGGTCAGATTAAAAAACTGCCAGTCATTCTGCTTGTTTTGTCTGCGCATTATTTAACGAGGTTGGGTTAGATCGCTATCGCGCCATGTCCACGTGGGCCAAGCTGTGGTCAGACTCGCAGTGGAGAGGGTGCTACTTAAAATCGCAGTTGGGAGGATCAACTTGGCGCTTCACATCCGTCTGGGGTAAATAAAACAAGCATCACTTTATTCCAAGTCAACATTGGTCATTAGGAATGTCCCGATGCATCGATTCAACAATTTGATTCTTACACTTAACGATACATGCATGAGAGAATCGCTTATATATAAGATTCATGCAAATTTTATATTTAGAGTTAATAGAATGGGAAAAAACTGCATCAATGAGACGGAAGAAATTTGAAACAATGCACAGTCGTGGAGGTTGTTTGATCATCCTTCTATGAAGATCAGTGCGGGTTGGTGAAGGCAAGGAAGCACTGGAGCATAGAAGCACAGTACAACGATCGATGTTGTTGCATTTCCCTCTGCTGCCCAAGACTAAGCGGTCCTGGCAGGGAGCTGCCTATAACAACCTGGCCGTGCGTGGTGGTTGCCCATCCGAGCACTATATCCAGGTTTCAAACCCACTTAGTTTCTGAGATCTGACAAAATTGCACCCACTGCAAATGTTCTGAGTCATAGGTAGACACTCGCACATGAGCGTTGAAGCCATTACTAATTTTGGAAAACTCTTTCCGCAGACAGGAAGACGGGAAACAAGGGGACTTAAAAAAATAACACTGGGAAAAATGCATCGCATTCAGCGAAGGGAGCCGCGGAGGCACGTTGAGGAAACGCTAAATATCCCTTTCCTTTAGGAAGAAGAGTAAAAAAAAGTGTCACCCAAGGCGTTTGATCAGTTTTGTTCTGCTTGTCTAAGCTGCCTTGTTAAAATCCATATCCCAGGGTCTCCTATTTCCTCAGCCCATCTGCACAAAATATCTACCTACGTATGCACCACTGGGATTTAGCCATTTACCATGCACCAGGGAAGGGCTTCATTTTATTCTGTCGGAGGCATTGTGGCGTCTCCTCTGGCTGAGAAATCAGACGGGAAAATGAACAAGCGAGGGGAGGGTAGATGCCCTCAAAAGCGTGAATGTCACACACTGCTTACATGCCATAAAGCCCATGCCAACATCAGCTGCGCTAATTTTTATCGCCTTTTTTATATCTTTCGACGCTCAATTTTCACTCTGTGGCAAGTTCTGCAGTGTCTCTGCGTGTACCATAATGCTAAGCGATCATACACAGTAATAAGATAATAGCTATAGACAAAATACTCTTCTCCTCCTTGATGTCTGGGGTGTTAAAAACCGAGCCTATTCTCCATCAATGGATACATCTGCCATTTCTGGGTCATTTCTTCTGATCTGTGAAAGGCAACAGATAAAAGGATGAATCTACCACTGTATCTGGGTTACTCTTCCGAAATGCGCAAGGGCTCAGGAAATAGGAAGAATGTAGAGCTTCGAAAGCAATGTTTGTGCTGCACGATTGGGATAAATTCGGTGGAAAAGACAAAAAATGTTAGAAAAAAGTTTTCGCAATTCAAGTGACAGGACAAAACTGCATACTATATGCTAGAGCAAACCAATGTTTAAACAATCTTTGTTTCATCTGGCTGAGCACATGAATTATAGTGACTGGCCCCTTCCACGTAAATATGGAATTTCTACCACTGGCTTAGGACGGCCTTTGCAGATGAGCTCTGCTACATTGATCACGATGTAAGAACTTCGAATTGTGCGTGAATTACATGGGCAAAGTTTACTTATAAAATGTATTTGCTTATAACTAGCGTCTGGGAAAATGGGGCTGCTCGTTATCCTCTAATTGGTGTCGTCTTTGTTTCACTCACACACTCCCCCACTCCTTTATTTCAGTATGCAGCATTAGAAAACATTGGTTGGAAAAACACACACACACACACACTTGTGCCATGCATCCTCGCCTGGGAATTTATAAAGAAAGCCTCACTGTGGTTGAACCCATGACCCGACACAGTCAAGCCACAGGCACGATGCTGAAATGAGCCACATTTCCCACCATGTGGCGACTTTTTAAATGTTTGCACACGCGCACGCTGTGCGTGTGTCTGTGAAACTGGAAGGGAGTGTGCGAGCGTCTGTGAGCCGCTGTAATGTTGGACCGCCACGGCGGCGACATGTTAACTACCTCGCCTGGTATACAGGAGGTCGTGGGATCGTTCCCGACCCTGACGCTTATATATTTGGAGTTTGCATGTCCTCCTGGTGGCCACGTGGATTTTTCTCCGGGTCCTCAGATTTTCCCTAAACATTTAGAATCAACATCACGCGTTCAGAGTGTTTGGCTGCTATACATTTCCACATGATGATCAGACACTTCGTTGAGCTATCACTTGTGACAGCCAGGTCTCTTCTGAAACAGAGCTATGTAGCTCAGTGAGCCGCTGTGTATGTCTCCGTGAGCGTGCACATATATGTGTTTGTAAATTGTGTTTTTCTTCATTTGGCGGCCAGAAGCACAGCACCACTGTCTCATAACTAATTCTGTCCATCGCAACTAATCCTGTCCTTCACGACTAATCCTGTCTCAATAACTGAGCAAGAGACCCAGAATGTGACAGTGTTTGTACAAATTCTGCTGGATAGCGTAAGTCCTGTCGGCCGATTGGCCAATGGGCAAATCGAAATATTTAATTTTTGAAGTGCAGAGACAAATAAACAAAGCTATATTCATGTTATCATCCATAAAACCCTACAATATCACTTCATGCACCTGAGACAAGAGTCCTCTTTGGGCTGAACAGGGCCCCCTCGTTTATAGTGAGCAATTTTACCTATAACATTTGCCAACTAAGCAGGGTTTGTTCTACTGATGAGACCATTTCCACATGAATTGCAATGTAAACAATAAAGAGAATTGAATTAATCAGTTGTCAGGTGCATGTCTGGTTTGTATTTATTAGGCACGTAACAATATTATTCCTCTTGCGATTTTATGAAATGTCAGAATTAGTTTTTTTTTACCATTGCGGTAAATATAGTGCCTCTAGTGGCTGCAGGGGTCTGCAACCAAAATAACAAGAAGATACATTTGTATCGAATTCGGTAAAAAAAACCCTCTATTTCAAGAACCGCAATGCATGAGAATACGACACGGTGGTCCTGAATAACTAACATTACGAAGCAGTCCTTAAAGAGCCACCATGCGGCTCCAAGGCCGCAGGTTGCCGACCGCCGCTCTCGTGGCTGCAGGGGTCGTACAATCCCATCATAGACAACACACACGAATCTCAAATCGTCGATTCTCACCTGCACGATTTCGTTGCACGCATCGTGGGCATTAATAATCGCCCTTAGTCCACGAAACAATGTATAGGCACATGCCTAGTATGTATGCATATACAGTATCGCCCCCGTTAAAATGAACAACTTGGAGACCCAGAAGAGGGTTCACTACTTAATCTGGGTGCTTACTGGAACAGGTTTCATGACGATTTGTACGGACTCTTTGAAAAAACACGCGAGAACATTAACCTGTTGCCAGCTATATGTAAATTTGCATTCACGGTCAGATGCAAAATTTAAACATTACACACAGGTACAACATGTGTGCTAAATTCACTGGACAGTAGAGTGTATAATACAGTGGAAGTGTGGCAGTACGTACGATCGTATAAATCAACACAGGACAATGCGTTCCTGCAGGTGCATTCGTTATAAACCGGGGTATCGTTACGAGCACGGTTCGTGATAACGAGGTAAACACTGCGTAGAGAAAACATTTTCACCAAGGCTGTAAGTACCTGATGATGACGCACTGGTTCTCTTGGTCGATGAGCATGTTGCGGTACATGTTGTCTGCCAGGGCGTAGATGTGCGGGGGGTTCTCGTACTGAGCCTAATACGGGGCCAGGCCGGGCAGGAGGAGAAGACAGCGCATGGCAGTGAGAGTCGCGCGTCACGAAGGAACACGTATTTACATACCCGACGAGTCGCGGGCTTAGAGACGCGGCGGAGAAAACATGACAAAAGTAGCGCTGCCAGCAAGACGCCTCTGCAGTGGGAAATGTGGGCTGGAGGTAAGAAAACACGGTGAGTTTCCGACGCGCTCCTACTGGATATCTGTGAAAAAGAGCTTTACAGCTTGTCGGATTCCTCCGGTAGAAATAACGATTCTGATTCAGAAGAATGGATTCGCGGCTCCACGTTCGGCGCAGCACCAGTGGCCTTACCGCGCCCTGGTACAGCTCGATCTCCTTGTCGGTGAAGTACGGCATCTGCTTGAAGGGGTTGACGGAGATGAGCACTGGGCCGATGTATGTCTGGTTGAGGGCAGTCAAGGCTTGTTCAGCATCAGCATGGATTTCAAAAAGTTTTGGCCTATGCAAATGAAGAAATAAGTGTCTGCATGTTGAACTTCTTTTGCACCGTAAGTAGCCAACCGCCCTAATCAACAGTGTATTGGAGGGACAATGACTGTACACAAAAAGTAGTCTTAAATAAATGAAAGTAAATCAATGAATGCAGGCCTCTCCACTGTGTGTTGGTCACGGCGGTAGTTTGAGCATATTTCACCATGCTGGTCCACAGTACAGGTTTGTGAAGTGGGGGGTGCAGGGCAGAATCAGTTCAGATGTCCATTTAGGGGCACCACGGCGAGATGTTAACTCCCTCGACCGGTATACAGGAGGTCATGGGTTCGATCCTGACCCTGATGCCTGTGTATTTGTAGTTTGCATGTTCTCCCCACGGTCACATGGTTTTTTTCTCCGGGTCCTCCGGTTTTTCCCTCCACATTTAGAACATGCGTGTATATAATTTGGCTGCTATAAATGTCCATGTGATAAGCCACTTTGAGCAATCATTTGTGGCTAGGTTATTCTGAAAATAAGCTATAATATAGCTCACTCGGCCTTACCTGATAAAAAAAAATGTTTTCATTTAGTTGACACCGAAAGGATTTAAATATAGGTCGCTGGGTTCCTAGTGCATTGTGCTAAGCATTCTGCCATCGTTCTACCTTCCATAAGGAACACTATACTCTTACAAAATAGTTAAAAGCATGTGTGTGCAAATGGGCCTTGAGTGGCAGCCTTGAGCCTGTGTTTAAAATTCTGCATTTAAATGTTGGGACCCAGTGATGTGCTGCAATTGAGCCAAGAGGGAAGATGAGCTGATTAGACCCTGAATGAAATTAAACACATCCTTCTGACAACACCAGCACATAGCTGCATTGTAACTCTTTTCGCAGTGTTACTTATTATGCACCCAGCAGCATCCATTGCACACCGCAGTCAGTCAGAGGATCACACGTGGTGGGTAAAACAGCCGCCCATGTTTTCAAACTATCGTAAAACTAGGATAAATCTCTGCATCAATAATGCGAAACAATTTTTTTTAAACCTCTGTGAGCATCACAACTTTAAATACCATGCTAAATTGCACATAAAGGAAGGTGAGAATAATTATGTAAATTAGGAAAGTAACGATTAATTGCCACAATTCAGAATTGTGATTCAATGCATAGGATCAATGATTATTTTCAAATTGCGACGAATTCAGTGTCCTCTGGTGGGTGGAGGGGTCACGTGAACCCATTAAATGTAACAGACGAATATAAAAAAACACATTATTACGCATGCACGCTTGATCGCGTGTATTGTAAGCTAAATGAATCAATTTAATCAATGAGTCAATGCATCATTGCATCTTTCACTGCAATACGTTATTGTACATCAAACAACATATACGGAAGAGAATAATTACTGTTAAAACATCACTGGCTTTAGGATTTTGTCAAACCATGTGCAATTAACCCTTTTGGATCAACTCTCAGGAAGGAAATGAATCTGAATGCTAAATTGCAAACAATTTAAACATTTTTTCTCAGGCATGTTCTCTAAAGGACTGCTTCTAAAAATACTCCTCAGAATGAGTTTTTTTTAAAGGAAATACTGCATTAAAGTTGCCTTCCTGAGTTTACTGCACATTAGGGAGGCAGACAGAGATCCCTCTTCGATATAAGGCCCATTTTTTTAAGCAGGCAGCGTTTGACAATAAATGTTTTCAAATAATCTGAAATAAACTCTTTATGGGGTAGAAGATTTGCAGGCTGCACTCGAAGCCTGGTGACCTGAATTTGGTTCCTGGCTACGGTTTACGAAAATTGGCAAGTTATTTCCGACACCAGTCCAAAGCATGCACGCCCTTCATGAACCCGCACTGACCAGCATGGTAAATTGCGGGTAAAATAAACCACAAGACCAACACAGCATGGGTAGGCCTTCATCCAGCAGTGGATTGAGAACGGGTAGTAGATATACAATTCATATGACATACAGACTTGAGATTGATAGAAAAATAAAATTCGCTTTGGTGGAGACTTTGAAGAGGCATAGTTTAAAAGAATATATATATATTTTTAAAATTACTACCATTTATTATTCTCTCAAAAAAAGGCAGTGTTCCCATGCTCATACACGCACTGTGCAGTGTTCATCTCCACTGGAAGTCTTGGAAAGCTATACCTTCTAGATGCTGATGGAAATTCTAATTTCTTATGGAATAGACAACTTTTTTCCATAGGACAACCCCACTGATATCTTCCGCCCAGAGTTGCAGTTCCCCATTTTATCGAACTTGGAAGGCCGAGTGTCCGAGTCAAAGCCTGATCAGCGTTTGAAAAGCATACCTTTCTCAATACGAGTTGATCGCTCGGCCACTGTGCCATTTGGCCCCGTGGTGTTTGGATCCCCATAATTTTATATATATATGCATAGTTCAGCTTGTGTTCATTATTTTTTTTTCAAGTTTGAAAAACAATGTCCTTGGGCTGCAGTGTCTGGGAGACCGCAGCCACACACAGCTGCTGCGGTAGGATTCTCGCCGACTGACATTGGATCCACACTCTGGATGCTGCCAGGCCGCTGGCGGAATCAGACGAAAACAGGAAAGGCTCTCTGACAAACTTAGCATGTGCATTCGCATACAAAGTCTGGATTGCTCACGTGAGCTGGCGCTACAGTTTATTTTCTCATTCTTTTTTTTCTCTCTCTCTTTTGAATCTGTCACAGCTGCAGTGCTAAATGCTCGTGTAGTTTTCGCTACGTAAGGCCCATCATAACGTGGGAGGAGTGATGGCCAAGTGATTTGCGCATTACCAAACCGGCGACCTGAGTATGATTTCCAGCCGCGGATAATAGCCCGCACTGACCAGCTTGGTGAAGTATGGTCGAAAAGCATTTATCACCTGCATTTATAGCATGGGGAGGCCGTCATCCACCAGTGGGTTAACAAAAGGCTCTGTGTTATTATTTAAATTTTAACCTGAATACAACACATTCTGGACTGCAGAGGATGGACTCAAAACCATCATCAGTGTTTCCCATTAATGCTCATATCACTCAGGCTAGGTGCAAACAATAACAAAAAACACATTGTTGCAGAACTGTTGTTCATGCTAACAATCCGTCACTGGGTTTCACATCATGGGAAACAAATATGATTTTATCCACCAGCCACATGAGTCAGGGATAAGAGTTTTTACTCGGGCAATCCCGAGGCGTGTGTTCATCCCTCTGTCCTGTCATCCAACCCTTGCTGCTGTGATTGGCTGAGATGAGCTTACGTGGGTTTCACTGCAATTGTCAACAACAGTGCCCACGCACTGAAAACAAAGCCGGTAGAATCCATGATACCATTTGGCATTTAATGTTATTTTAAAATGTAAATATATACAGCGTGAATGGCAATGAAATCTATGCCATTATTTGTGTTACTAAAGGCAGTGGGTTATTGGGGTGAGGGGTGGGGGCAACTGAGGAGCAGTTGTTAGGCACTGGGTGACTATGGGGACTCGATGTGGTTTGATAAAAGGGGCAAATTTTAGCCTTGGGGGCACTGAACAACAATATTTTTATTCTCCGGATTATAAGACTCACTTTTTATTTCCTGTATTTTAAAGCACATGTTTTGCGTGTACCTTATAGTATGGAGAATATGGTAACTGCTGGTACCACGTGACTTTTTGTACATGGTACAACATTTTATATTGTCCCGAAGGGCATTATTCCATGATTTTTGCATACGTGAATTTATATTACTGCAGGCATGGAAATATGCAAAAACAAAAAATAGGCGATGAAAAAGCCTCTTCTAAACAAGCTCTAATGAAATCTGCGCAGCCGTTAGGGAGAGTCTGTGGGTTTGAAGCAGCATTCCCTTCTGCTGAATCACAGTTTCTGAGGAAGGGGGGCACACCACCAGATGGAAGCATTAGTCAGCACACAGCGTGGAAAGCCAGAGGCAACATTTGGTACCATATCACGTTTCATAAATGTCTGCCCAATATGCACAGTCAGGGTATGTTTTTGTTGGAGATACTTTGACAAAGGTTTTGTCATTCCAATAAGGGCCAGTGAACTCAAAAGTAGTCGATCTTCCGTTCTTAGGAAATAAAAAAAAACCCCACACAGCAAGCCTCTCTGACACAGATGTTGGAGGGATGGGGTGGGGGTAAGTGGCGTCAAGACAAACACAATCTCAGGTACAAGTATGCTCTTCTTTAGGACACCCATCTCAAAGAAAAAAAACTGCCTTGCAGAGCTTTGATTCTGGATTAACAGGTAGATCAGGAGACTTTCTTTACTTTGCCATTCGTTTCATTGGCACGGTGCAAAAAAAAAAGAGCTAGGAACTTTTAATAAGCATCAGCTGGCGCCTGCCTTGGCGCTCACTGCACTACTGAGCAAGAAGAGCAGCAGGCGGGCGCTGACAGGGCCCCGAGGGATCGGTAGAGCCCAGCGCACGACCACGTGCTACGAAAACACCGCAGGGACCTGGCCAGGCGGCACCATGGTTAGAGTCCGCGACTCACAATTGAAAGTTTGGGAGTTCAATGCTGGTCATTCGTCCTCCTAGGGTATTTAAAATGGGTACCTTCCTTTCTAAGAAGTCAAATGCGGGTGTGCCGTGGATAAACTGACCGCTGCCATGGCAACGTAAAATTTTAGCTGCTACCTCAGGGTTAGCTGATTTGTGAATGTAAACAAATCCACAATAAATGCCTTCAGAGAGAAAGTGAAGCAAATATTGAAAGTTTTTATATATTTTTGTCTAAGCACAAGGCACGAGCTTGAAGGAAAACACTTTCTATGAAGAGGTTACAAGAAATTGCCCTGCGTTCCTGAATTCCAGGGATGTAAAGGTTGGGTTGGTCGATCACTGCATGACACCCACTTGCAGGGCCAGCAAAGTGCCTGTAGGAGGAGGTATAACAAGTAGGCTGTAGTGTTGTTGTTTTTTACCATTATCCTCTCGGATGTGTGCGTGTCCTTTAGCAATACAAAATTCTACAAAGTAGTTTTTGGACAAACAACCTGAGCAGAGCTCTCCTAAAAAAAAAGTTTTCAGACTCAGCCAAGGCTTTCCTGGGTCAGGTCAAGGTAAATTCAAAGAGTCTTTCCCTACTCACATCAGCAGTGGAGCGGTGCTCATCTCCAATGGTGACCCTGAGTCAGTGGTGGAAATTCCACATTCCCATGGTGGAGGGAAATTTGTCGACTGCAGTACTGACTTCCCACAAAGCAGCAGAGTCGACCCTTCACAGCTTACGAGCCGACCGCCCTAACACAAGTGACCAGGCCAGTGATTTTTTTCCGAGTGAAATATCGTTTTCAAAATTAGAAGTTCCGTGTGTTCGAACAGCCATGCTGTGTATGAAGCAGTGTGGCTTCGTGCTCAGCTTGTGGGAAACAAGTAGGGCGGCACACAGAGCACAAGCTGCTGTGATGCCGGCTCAAGTGCAACCACACCATGTGTGGCGAGACATAATACAAACCTAAAAGCCATTAATCCACTATCTTTTCACATGCACGTTCACACTAAAAGCCTGATCAAGCACTCTATATTGCCGTAATGCACTGCCTGTCAATAAAATTAGAGTGCCAATTTTTAACTATTAAACGACTCTTAGAAGCCATAAATAAGTAGCCTGAACACACCATAGGCAAACTGCCAATATATATAAACATGATGCAGAATTATTTAAAACCAAACGCTTATCAACACCAAGGGCTTTATCTCATAGACACAACGAGACCATTAGTTTCCAGTCCATACATCAGCATAATTACAATGGATGGCCGCGGTTTGATTCTTCTTAACACATTATATATTCTACGTATGGTGCATACACAGAACTGTTGGCATCAAAAGCAGGGCTTTTAAAAACTAATGCTGTTAGCGCCATCAAAATAGTAAAACAATTACTAAATGTAAGTAATTAAGTGAATTTCGGCTGGATCCATCGTATCAATTGTCCCGCAGTGTTTGAACAAGATTTCAAATAAAGTGAGCAGATGCCGTGTGGTGGCATGCGCGTGGCATGAGGATTGACTAGCCATCGCCGGCCCGTCGTGTTGAAGGATACGAAGATGAAGTCATCCATGTATCTCTTCTTGAGGTTGTCCACGATGGCGTCCTCGCTGATCTTGGGCAGCAGGACCATGTCGTCCACGCCGCTGTGCTTGACATTGTGGCTCTGCCAGTGGTAGCGCTCTTTGCTGCCCTGAGAATAGCAATGCAAACAAATACACACACACGCACATATACACACCATTAGGGAGCCATTCAACCTGCCATCCACTTACAGGATTGTAATCCACCCTCAATTCAGTCGCGTCATCAGGCGATGACTATTAGTCAGCAGCAGAAAATCTGCATTCCTATGTAGGGAGGCCAGTTTTCGTACAGGACAACCACTGTTGACCTCCTACAAGGTAGTACTTAATTGCCTGACCTCCAAGAGATGATGCGCTGGGGGCCTACCGGCATTTTAATTCATGGCCTACTCATGTGCTCTATTACCACGCCCAGCTGTAATACACAAGCGGCACACAATTTTCTCCAACGCCCTTATTCTCTGGTTGCAGATGTTACACCACACCTCGGAGCAAACTAAAATGAAAGGGCGTCATGAGAAATTGCACAAGCGTAACGCCACATCGCCACACGTGGATACAACCCTCATTAAGCAGGTGAACCATGGCTCAGCTTGGTCACTCATGACATCATCTACAGCTCAGCAGGTCTTTTTCCCGGTCATATACACTCAGTCCAAAGTCTACTGTATACCACACTGTCGTGAAGAAGTGACAGATCATAAGCCTTGACGATAGAAAGCCACAAAATGTTTCAATCCCACTGAATTAAATTGTACTTTACATTCGATAATCGAGTATTGCAGATAAAAAAAAACATAGATACAATCCCCCCACAATTTAATCTTGCCAGTGGTTTTGTATGCACTGTACTCTCTGGATTGCAACATGCTCTGGAAAGTGAGATGTCCACGAACTTGCGCCCGTTGCTGATAAAGTGATGCCAATCTGGTCACGTGAGCACACCTACAGGACTGGACGAGACACACTTGCCAACATTTCACATCCGACCACGTCCGTCCAGTGCTCGCCGAGCTGCATTGGCTTCCAGTTGCCGAATTAATACATTATGAAGTCGCACTCATTGCACACAAAGTGCGAGCCACAAATGAGCCACAGGACACCTTGCTGATTTCGCCAATGAGCATGACCCGTCACGCGAGCTCCGGTCAGCCTTGCAGAGGCTTTTGGCTGGCCATGGAACAAAGACGGTCACTGCACCGCGCGCTTTCCTGTGGCCGTCTGGAATGCTCTTCCTTACAAAATTAGGAAGCCAGCGAAGCAATGCAGTTTCAAATCGAGATTTGAAAACTCATTTATTTAGAACTGCTTTTACTGTTTAGTTTGTTGTCCTTCCCTCGCCCCCCCCACCAATTAGCACGGTTGGGTACGTGTGGCACAAAAGAAGTTCAACATGCATACGTTTGCTTAAAAATACAGAGGGAGAAAAGTGGGTCATAATCTGGAGAATACAGTTTATGTCCATGTTGGGGTTTTTATTATTTGTCTGTGTGTACCCTGGCTGTGAAGGTATAGATATTTTTTAGTATTCATGCCGTTCATGAGAAATATCGTAAATGGAATTGTTTTCATTGCACTACATTGGAATGAAAACAGGGCTTTGTCACACCTGGTCTAACAAACCAGATGTAGGCTTGCAGATAAGTGTACAGTTTCATAAAACTTTATCATTAATATTTAAACACCGCATTGTCCGCACCTATGAATATGTTAAGACATTAAACCATTCATTGTGCTCGACGTGTTTTAATGAATACCCTCTGTGTATATAATGTGTCCGAATTTTCCCTTTCCAAGATGATTGTAAATTATTGTGAGTGTGCGTGTAGAAAAACCACTGTTACGTGAGCGTTAATCAAACCCCTAACACCCCAATTACCTTTCACGTGGTTCGCTCCGTCTATGTTTCCAAATTAAAAAGGCTTTCCATACATGATCGCGACGCTACATTTTTACACTGAATGTAACGTTCAGGGAAAGCCTCTGCTGAAGACACTAGCACTTTAGCCACTTTCCAAAAGGAGGGACTACTTGAAGATTCGTTATTGCTTTTAACCCTCAACAAATTCTCCTTTCTGCCGTTTGGAACAAATGGCTGTCATTGGACCTTGGTTTGTTTGCTAATTGTTTTCAAACAAGGGAGCAAAGCCCCGCAATGGGTGTTTGTGCATGGTGCAGTTCATTTGCATCCATTGCTAGTGACGTTTTAGGTAATCCTCTTGCTCTCTCTAATGACTGTGCTCTCACACTGACCACGCTTGGTTAGTGTGGGTTTATAATAATGATTAAAAAAATATATATATACAATTTCTAAACGCACGGAATACTTCACGAATCGGACGTGTTGTTCCATCGAGAACTCGGGAGGTTTGAATCTGGAGCTCACCGTCCCTCGTATGCTTTGCCTGAACAAGTGAGCCTTGAGCTGCTTGCCTGACGATGGTGGATGGTGTTTGGATCACGCTTTCTTATTATTTAGTGGAGAGGGGCAACCTAAGACCGGTTCAGATATCGCACCTCCGATTAGCACGGTTGGCTACGTACGGTGCGAAAGAGGTTCAACATACATACTCCGTACATGCATATCACTCTTCGCATATGTTAGCCATGATTGGGAATTGAACTCAGGTCAGCAGATTCACAGCACAGCTCCACCCAACAGTCTCGCATTTTCATTTCAATCATTAGAAGAGCAAAAAAAAAACCTGTTACGTCCGTTGGGACACCAAGAGGCTCTATGTGAACACTGTACTTACAGAAACCCAGGGGGCACGGCTACGCCACTTGCCTTGCGTAAAATGCTGGGCATGCCGGGCAGTGGGCTCTCCACACAGCTTTCGAAGTTAAGCAATTCGGGGCAATCACTCGAGCTGGCTGGCGAGCCGGAACGGTCACGGCCGTGCGTCGTGGCATCGCGACTCTCCTCGTGTTTATGCCCCCAAAACCTGGAGCCTACGGCCGCTTCCCGGCGTCGCAACCAAGAGGTTGAGACACACAACCGCCCCACCGCACCACGCCAGTTGGGGCACGGGGACTGTGCCATCATCGCATACGCTGCAGGGTGTCGTATGCGTGAACACAAGGAGGCGTCGTGGATTGTAAACTAAACTACATTTTTTTCTAAACGATTTCTTTTTACCAGGTAAGGCCCACTGAGCAATGTAGCTCTTTTTCAGAAGCGACCTGGTCACAAATGACGGCTCAGTGAACGAAGTGGGTTATCATGTGGAAATGTTTACAGCAGGCAAATACTGAAAATGCATGTTGCTTCTAAATGTGGAGGGAAAACCCGGAGAACCGCAGAAAAATCCATACTACCACGAGGAGAACATACAAACTCCAACTATACAGGCATCAGGGTAGGGATCGAACCCATGGCCTCCTGTATATTTTGTTGGAGTAACAATTCTTTGAAAATCTATACAGTTAGTCAGACACTTCCAATAAAATGTTTTTTTTGCATTGGAGAAAATCTTTGCTATTTTATGGAGTAAAACAAATACAGCACAGGAAACATGTTATTGGAATTCTGACAAACCGAATGAATTTCCAAAGAACTGTTTCTCCAACGAAGAAGAGAAAAATCCAACAAGATATATGACCAGTGGTGAAATGCTTAATATAAAGAATATTATGAGTCTCATGTGTGGTTTAAGGATTGTATACAAAGATGTACACCTGGTCAGAGAACCCGAGGAAGACCAAGAAAGTGACGGAGAGATGCCGCAAGCAAATGGACAAAGATGTAGACCACATGGAAATGTGTTATTCTATTCCATGCTTAATCGAATCAACAACCAACAGATTAATACATTATTTCAATAGTCAACAGTTACAGCTCTAAACAGTGCATACATAACGTGTCCTACCGGAGTCTAGAAAGTGTACTACACATCACAGAACCCCTGAGTGGTGCTCCTGAGAATGAGGCCAATGTTTCAAGTGCTCAGCCTCCCCACACTTCACTCGAGCACATTCAGTCCAAACCAAGAAGCAGCACAAATGCGTGGTGGGGCAGCCAAGAGTCTCAAAAGTCTCGGCAATTATTGGGACAATTTGACACCGCTGCATTTCCCAGAGTTTATCGATGACAAGCAGGGGGCCCTACGGAACCGCGCACCCCAGCGTACGCTCCGCCGAGGTACATCTCGGGACAAAAGGTTTGGCGCCTCCGCGAACCCCGAAAGTGGGGAAAAACATTACGCGTGACCACGCACGTGAAGCAACAGAGACTACGGCTCAGCCGCTGAGTTCCCAGACTCTTGAGGTCTGTCATGGACAACTAACGACTTGCACTGCTAAATATAGAAATTCATTTATAGATGCCCCCTGCCGCTACCCCTCACTAAAATAATAGCAGGAAATAATAAAGAAAACAACATTTTTTTTATTTCTGAGACTGCATGCACATCTTGCACCACCAATCTCAATACGCTTACTAAACCTTTTGACGCTCTCCTCCGCAAAGGACATGGGGCCATCGCTTGCACACTATTCACTCACCTGTTGACAAGAAGCTAAGAGGGGCGTTGGAAATCAGTGGGACTTGTGTTAAGCGTAAGAACTGGTAAAGTGTTTATTTCAGTACCCATCGAGAGAAAGCGGTGCACAAAAACACTTTTCCTTTTTGTTTCCGGATATTTTCTCGTCTCATATGTAAGGCTGTGCTCGCCGTGCGCATGTGTGCACATTTACTTATGGGTGCACATTTACTTATGGGATCATGTTCCAATTCAAAGAAAATAACAAGTATTTCATTGTTAAGTAGAGCCGGTACATTTTCAAATGAGCTATGGTGTGACCGCCCACAGCAATATACGATAAAACAAACACCGTTTGTTTCAACGGAATCAAAGAAAACTATACCATAAATTACGGTCATGTGTTGTACAGTGTGAAACTGTATTAACAAATGCCTAATTCAACTTAGCTTCGATTATTGGTCCAAAATACTGATCTTTGCAGAATATAACTGCATTGACATTAGTATAGCTTCCAAATGCAACCGCATCACCAGACGCTTCACAGGATACATTACTTTTTAGCTGTATGCAGACGAGCACAAATGATTCTTAGCTCTTGACTTGGACAAGGGCAAGAGTCTCAA